TTATTTTTATTTCATCAACAAACAAAGCTTTTGATGTAAAAAAAATGAATGCAATAGAGAACTTAAAATAAATAAATAATATAATAAATAAATAACCTATCCATATAAAACAGATATAGCAATAAACTTGTAAATAAAAATAATAACCTAAAACTTAGAATGAACTCCATATATATGTACTTATTTAATTATCTACTTATTTTGCTATTTAATCATTTATTTAATTATATATTAAATTATTTATTTTATTAACAAACAAAGCTATCTATGTAAAAAAAAATGCAATAGAGAACTTAAAACATATAAATCAAAAGAATGAAAAAGCATAAAGAAAGAATTTGTTATTAGACCTAATTAAAAAGAAATAGAAACAAGAATAAAAAATAAAAAACAACTAAAATTAATAAAAAATTGAAGTATGTACTTAAATAATAAAATATTTGTGCTCTTAATGCCTTAAAATTCTTACAAAAACTTCTTCCCGCATTTTGAAGAAGATTAAAAGCAAATATATATTATTTTTGAAAAATATATATTTTTTTTATTTCGCCAACAAACAAAGCTATCACTTTCTCTGCATTGTGCCGTGTATTTTTGCTACACGTATTGTTACGGTTAGATTTTTTCGACGGCTTTATACTGAAATTGAAATTCTATTTCACATGTTATCTCATTTAAATTTGACACTCATCTACCGGGTGCCTTCGCATTATATAAGAACTCCACGATCATTTTGTATGTTGTAAGATTTATATGGTAGATTTATATGGTTTATTTATATGCCATTGTCAGAACTGGACTCAAATGGGGCCATTCGGGAAGTACCAGCTTTTAAATACAAAAATAATCATCAAAATTTATTCACACAGTCGAAAGTCCGAATGTGGTTTATTGCGGCATGAGACCCCAACGGAAAATAATTAGATATTTAAATAAAACACAAGAAATTCATAATAAAAAATAGCTTAAGATCATATTTCCGAGAAATTGTAGTAAAAATAACGAAAATTAAATTAAAAATAAAAAGAAACAATTTGCGGACGTGTTCACCCGACAGAGTCCTACGACTGAATGCTAAACTCGAATAAAATGTTTGACTACCTCGACTTTTGCAAAAAGTGTTGATCAACATCGGTTTACAATAAGTGTTGACAGGCGATTGACAAATTGATTCTTAGAGCAAGTCTGGCAAGATCGCAACGATACTTTATCGATGTTTTCAGTTTGCAGTCCAACGGTTTCCTGCTATGACGCGATTTCGTCACTAGCTGATATTCCCAAATTCCAAATCGATGCCATTTACCGTGTTTAGTGAACACTAGTACGCTTTTACAAGAATAAATTGGTTTTAAATGATTATTAAATGTTGCTTAATTTTGATTCCAAATCTGCACGCCAGTTTCAAACGCTCTTGGTTTCTCGATTGATGTCTGATGCCGAGAAAAGATTTCAATGAATTCATTTTAAGGAATGTCTCAATTATATTTCAATTATTAAATAAGTTGTATTAAAACTCTGGTCCCATTTTAAGGAATGCTTTAAGGAATGTTTTAATTATATTTATTTTATTTGATAAAACTTTGTCCAGTGTTATCTTAAGGAATGCTTTAAGAAATGTTTTAAGGAATTATTAAATTATATTTAAATTTTTTGATAAGTTATGTAAAAACTGCAAACAAATGTTTTAAGGAAGGTTTTAATGTATTTTTTTTAATTATATTTCAATTATTCAATAAGTTGTATAAAAACTCTGCTTTAAGGTATGTTTTATGAAATGTTTTAAGAACTGATTTATTTAATTATATTTTAAATATTTAATTAGCTGCGTGAAAACTCACACGAGACTGTTTGATGAGAATGCGAGTATTTTAACTTTGTTTGATTTCAAAAATAATCACAAATTCACAATAATTAAACTTATATTTTTGCAATTTCTGGTGCTTAAAACACTGTCTTAAATACAACATAATAGCACGATTGAACTTTAATTATCCAATAAGCACAAATGAAGAACTTATTTATAACTAGCACACTTCAAAGAATGCCACATATTTCAACTCAGGCCGCAATGCCACACACTAATCCGTGACAGAAAATATACCAACATTTGTGGAAAAGTGCAAAAATATTTCGCATTTTTATTTTTCAAAAAATTCATATATTCAGCTCCTACTGTACTTTATATTCACAAGCGCATTCCGTTGCTCTGGAGGCTGTAATTACGAAGCAAGACGAATGCAGTCTCCGTTTACTTCGCCTCTTGAGCTTCAACATTTTGAGGCAATAGAAATAAATGCTTGGATTTATGTGTGCCTGCTTAATTGCTCGCACTCCACAAAACCTGACCCAATGCCAGACACACACACACACACACACACACATACACTCGTACATGCTCGTATATGCGTATATTTAAGCATACATTACTCATACGCACTGCTGTACTCTGCCTCCCTAGCTTTATGACTCAAAACAAATTCCATAAGAGAAAAAACAGAACAACAACAACTGTTATACTTGTATGCAGAACTAGAAGTTATTTGAGTCGAAGAGCCTCAGAATTTCTTGAACACAAATGCACAGCTTCAAATTTGCAGTGTGTGTGTGTGGGGGGGGGGGGGAGGAGGGGAAGGGGGCGTGTACATCCATATCTACATATGGATATGTATGCAGTCAAGGTTGTATTTCTTAAGTCGAGCGCAAGAGAACTGCCATAAAATGAAGTTTTGATGAGTGCAAGCAGCAACTGACCCCAAAAACATTCCCATCATCTTGGAGAAAACTCACACAAGCACACACTAACAATACACACACACACACACACCCACACACTCACAAATCAAGTTGCCGGACTGTCTGCTTTAAATTCACAAAAATCTCACTCAGTTGCTTGAAGGGAAAATTAACTTGGCATCTCCAGTTGATGTACAGGACCCTAAATCTTTTTTGGTCATTGACATTGTTCAGTATACATATATAGTATGTATATATAATATACAAGTAGGTATATGTATACATATGTATGAGCCTGCCTCCTTTCTTGTATCGTTTTAATTAATGCAAGCTTTGTTCGTTTCCTTCATCCGGTCGTTCGACTGCCTTAAGCCAAGACTAGCTCGGACTAAAAGAAGTTGTCTACATGCCACATATATCTCACATTGGTTAGTTATTCTTCTTATGAATTCAGATTTTTTGAATCCAAGTATGCCTTTTAAAAGCTAAAGAAACATTTCTCTTGAAGTGGAGCTACAAATCCGCTACGTTTGAAGAAAATGAATCAGTATTTGGGAAAATTTAGAATAGGGAAACTTTAATTTTCTAATTTGGCCTCTCCTGTACATTTTCAACACCTCCGTTTGCAACTTCATTTGAGCAATACACCCCCAACCCATATCCAGTCCCTGCTCACACACTCAGTTGCCCAAACCGAGCAAAACCACTGTCCTTCAACCACAAACCGCCACAAGAGCCCCAGCTCGCATCGTAGCCATGGCGTAGACAAATGCAAGTAAAAACCCAAACCAAGGCCAACGTCTTAACCAACGATGGAAGCGAAATGTTTCATTAGAGCGACGTTAGCCGCAAATGGCAACCAGAGGAGGGCACCTTAACTCAGACTCCTCTACCATGCACCCTCACCCCCCACCACTCATCAAACCCCAAACCCTTTGGACTCGCACGCACAACTAATTTGCCCGCACTGGTTGGATGGCAGCACACAAAAGGCAGAAAGCAAGACAAGCGACAGAAGAAAAAAAGAAAAGGAAGAAAAATACATGAAAACCAACCTTGCAGGACTTTCATCTTGCCGGGCATAAGAAAACTTTTCCTGGGGTCGCCACCCACTTGTGCGCATTTTCTTTGACGTTGAGAAATTTTCTTGTTCGCCTGCTCCGTTTTTTGCGCATACTTTGGCCTCAAACTCTTTTCCGCCTCGGACTACGGTCTGGGCATCTTCTAATCATCGGGATTTGGCATACTATATTGAACGCTGAGCCAAACTTTGTGTGGTTCGTTTGAAAAAAGTTTCACGCAAACTACACTAAAAGAAGCAATTGGGTGGAATCCATTTTGTATTCCGATTTGTAATTTTCATGCGAAAGTTGTATTGAAATCAGTGTGTTGCTGTAATAGAAACGAGTGCTATTAATATAATTATATAATTAATATTATTCGACTTCTTTTAATCGCAAGAGTTTTGCTTTATTAAAAATTAAAAACAACGTGTTAACAGCGCGCTGTTAGCCACAGCTGAAGCTTACCGCTGTAAAATAACAGAGGGCTGCCCGCTTTGTCAGCCTCTCCGCCAATTTATAACTTTTATTCGACAGTTTTGTTGAAATTAGTGCACTGCTAGTATGTTGCTGTAAAACAAACGATTGCTGTTGAAGCAGGAGTTAACAATGAAATTGGTTTAAGTAGCATTGCAATTTAATTAGGCATATAAATAGCATTATTAGATTACTGTTGTGAATTTCACAGCACACGTACCAGTTAACATTCTAGCTCGCTGTTAATTTGAAATGTTAACGAAAGCCTCTGTAAGGGTCACTTGTGATGGAGCACCGAAGCGATTAATACGTTTAATAAATGTTCATTAATTTTTCCAGGCACCCAACTCCTTTTACTATTATACTATATTATTAATTCATTCAAATTTATTTAATCGCCAAGAATTTGTTTTATTGAATACAAAATGTTGACGTGGCAGCGCGCTAAGCTAACCGCTGTTAAATAACAGAGCGCTGCCTCTCTCTTAAAGCCTCTCTCCCTATGTTAGCCAAGTAGTTATAAACTAATCACATTGAAGTGTACAATTAGCATAAGAAAGTGAACAATACAAGGGGGAAGAATGAATAAATGATTCAGCAATAAAACTTCATCTTATCCTCCATTAAAAATTACAAACATAACGTTCTCTATTATAGTATGTTGTGAGACTAACAATATTTTGTTGATTTATCTGAACACCACATCTGTTTCCTTCTTTATCCTTACAGGAAACCATACCAGCAACACCGGTGAGCAACACCGAGACAAGCAGCGTCGGTGCTGGCAGCGGCATTGGCGGTGGCGGCGGCGGCGGCAGCGACATCGGCAGCACCGAGTCCGAAGCCTATGCGGGCCTCATGAAGGATGCCGATAAGCTGAAGCTGATGTTGCTGGCGTGGAACTATCAGAACTCGACGGCAGTGCGCAACGGCACCGAGGGTCCTGATCTGAGCGTGGTGGGCGGCTTGTGGGCGCAATATCAGAATGCGCTGGCGCAGAATGCCGCTGCAGCAGCGGCGGCCAGCGTTAAAATGGACAGCTCCCTGTCACCGGTGCCCCGTCAGGATACCAATTCACCGATGGAGGCACAGGATGAGACCAATTCGTCGGGCCAAAAGGAAGAGGATGAGGTATCAGAGGACGATTCGGATGACAAGCTGGATGAGAAGCTGGCCACCCCACACGATCCCGAGCGGTTGAAGGCGTTCAATGTGAGTAATGATGAAGAAGATGAAGAAGAAGATGATGATGATGATGGAGCATGCCACAAATGTAAAGTGAACGTTACCAATAGGTTCACACCTAAGCAATATCCCTAATTCGACGCCTGCATATTGTTTAGCTAACGAGTCCTCTCTCTCTCTCTCTCTCGCTTGCCTTGCAGATGTTCGTGCGATTGTTTGTGGACGAGAATCTGGATCGCATTATTCCAATCTCCAAGCAGCCAAAGGAAAAGATACAGGCCATCATTGATTCGTGTGCTCGACAGTTTCCCGAGTTCAGCGATCGCTCGCGAAAACGGATTCGCACCTATTTGAAGTCCTGTCGCCGCAACAAGAAAACCCGCGACGGCTGGGAGAATACGGTGAGCAGATCCCATACATATACATATGTATTATCTATATATTTGTCTGAAACTGTTCCGAACTCTGAAGATTTAGAAAAAAGCGAACTGCTTCCGCTTAGGCCACTTCTATCTGGTTATACATATATGTATATCTATCTTAACTTCAACTCATTCTTACTTTACAGTTTATAAATAAAATGAAGTATATGCTTATTTCTAAGGAACAATAGTCATGCTCATGATTTCTAGTGTTATTTGCATTTCGAATGAACTAGTTTCGAGTTAAAATTAAATTAAATCATAAATTTTGATACCAATTCGTAAGATTCAGATCGAATTCAGTTCATATATGTGACCCAGCTCTAAATGAACACTGAAACATAAGCCGAACTAGTTCATTTTACTTTATGTTTATTTGTAAATTAATTATAAGATAATAATGGAGTTACAATTCAATTTAAAAACGTATTTATCCATATATTTATGAACAGAACTAGTTGCTTTTTCAATTAAGCATTGCTAGTTCAACTTCATAAATAAGTTCTAAGGAGAACTGTACCTATTTATGAAGTAAATTAGTTGCTCTTTTCAATTAAATATTGAAAATTCAACTACATGATCATTTTATAGAAGTAGCTTACACAGCTATGATGAGAACTAGTTCCTCATTTAAAAAATAACTTATGCATATGATCAATGCTCTTCTTAACTAAGCATTGTTAGTTCAACTGAATGACCATTTTCTAAGGAGTATTTTACCTATTTATGAAGTGAATTAGTTGCTCTTTTCAATTAATCATTGCTAGTTAGACTACATGATCATTTTCTAAAGAAAATATTGTACATTTATGACCAGAACTAGTTCTTCTTTCCCACTTCTTAATGTAGTTATATACAGATACAGGTTCCCATTTCTACAGTACAAACTAGTTACAATATACAAATTGAGCTGAAAGGGCTGTCAGGCTTTCTAAAGAGACCTTCATATATATATAAACTGAACTAGTTCCACTGCAAACTATGTACAATATCAACTTTAAATTGTCTACTTAAATAAATTGTTCCTCCTTAGCTTTAAAATGTAAAAATATTTCACATTTAGAAGCAGCGAAGATTAATTTATATGCAGCACATTATATCTTCTTGAAGAATGTGCCAAAGAATAGAAAATTATTCATATACATAGCAACTGAACTAGTTCCACGGCAAACTATGTACAAAATCAACATTGAATTGTCTAATAAATTATTAAGCAGGGCTTTAGAATGTAAAAAAAAAGTTAACCTTTAGAAGCATTGAAGATGAAAATTATATCTCTTACATCTTATATCATTACTTGTATATCTTCTTCAAGAATGTACCAAAGAATACAAAATAGTTTATAATAATTGGCCAAATCTAGCACTATTTAACAACTATTCTTTATTGCAGACCCGTCCCACACCCGCGCACTTGACATCGGTGCAGGCGGAACAAATTCTGGCCATTGCCTGCGAGAACGAGTCCATGAATGCGAAGCGCATGCGCATTGGCCTCGAGCCCATCACACATGCGGTTCCGGCGCCGGGCAGCGCAGTCGCCGCTGCAGCAGCAGCGGCCGCCGCCGCAGCTGTGGTGGCCGCCACCAGCTCCAGCGCCGGCACAAGCACCGCCAGCTCCAATTCCACCGTCACATCCGCCGTATGCGGCGCCGATGCCGCGACGCTGACCAGCGTAGCCGCCGCTGCTCTGCCCTTCGTCAGCGCCGTTGGCTTTGCGCGCTCCACACCCAATTCCGAGCACGCCGAGGCCCTGCCCTTCGGCAGCGCCGCCAATGTGGGTGGCAGCGCCGGCGGCGGCAGTGCCGGGGGTGGTGGCATCAACTCGGCGCGCAGCTCACCCCTCGCCCTGAGCTCCAATGCCAGTGTGAGTGGCGGGGCCAGCGTAACGGGCCTGACGCTGCCCAATGGCGGCGGAGCATCGAATGGTGCGTCAGCTGGCTTGGCAGGACTACCCGCGAGCAGTCCGTTGTACCGACCCACAGATTTCAATTCACCCTCGGCGGCATCACCGTTTGTAGCCGCCGCAGCGGCCGCAGCTGTGGCGGCCGGACGCGCGCCCAACTATCCCGGCTATTTCCCGGGCGTTGCCGGACTGGGCAATGGTGAGTACTCGAAGGATAAAAAGAGAGATTCCTTTCTTGCCTTTCTCCTAATTATGTGCAGCTGGATCTAATCTTTTGTCTCTCATCTTGCAGCTACGCCCACCGATCTCTCCATGAAACCAACCACGCTCAATAGCGCCAACAGCCTGACAGGCAACAGCAACAACAACAATGTCATTACCGGCGTCACGCTCAGCACTCAGAACAACCTCAATGCCATGGCCAATAGCCTTAACAGCCAGCTGAGTGCCGCCAACTTGGCCAATCTGAGCAATGCGAACAACAACAATGCTCTGGTGACGGCCACACAGCAGCTGCAGCAGTTGCAGCAACAACAACAACAACAGCAGCAGCAACAACAACAACAGCAGCAGCAGCAACAGCAGCAACAACAACAGCAACAACAGGTGGCGGCGCTGGGAGTGGGTGCCGGGGCCCAACAGCTGGGTGGCCTGGATCCGAATGCGGCGCGTGCGCCGCCCCTGCTGCCCCACAAGCTCAGTCCGAACGAGGTGACAGCGGCACGGCAGGTGATCTCCGCGTATCGCGAGAGTGCCGCCTTTCTTCTACGTACCGCCGATCAGGTGGAGCAGCTGCTCGTGCAGCAGCAGTAAATGGTGGAGAGGAGGTGGAGTTGGAGGAGGGGGCGGGGTTGGGCGATTTCCAAGAAACTTTTAAGCCTGCGCCAAGCGTGGGTTGTTCCTACTTAATGTTAAATTGAATTAAACACAAATACACACACACACACACACACTTAAGCGCACACACACACACACACACTCACATACAACTAAGCAGCAGCAAGCTACAACAACAACAACAAAAAACAAAACAAAAACAACCACTAAACTAATTAAAGCAAAGCAAAAACAAAAATAGTCAAAGCATAGAGCAAAGAACATAAAACGAAATTAATAACAGCAACAACAACAACAACAACAAGAACAAAAAGCAAATACCAAATAAACAACAAAAACAAAACAAAAACCAAAAAATAGTCAAAAGTTCGTTTAAAAGCATTTTTAAGTGTTTTTTCCTCAAACTACGTACAGCATATTTAAATAATATAAAACAAAAAACAAAAACAAAATCAAATAAAATCTAAAGAAAAGAGATAAAGAAAAATTATTGCAATAGCAGCAGCAGCAGCAGCAGCAACAGAAATAAGAGCAGTCTACACAGTGTCTACTAAAAGTATACTAACAATAGCCACCAATCGCATCACTTCTTATTCCACTTTGTCGTTTTGCGTTTTCAGTTTCCACGCACTTTCCGACTCGATACGCGAGTGCGCGATTTGTTAAATAATAAACGAAGGAAAAATAATATTATTATGCAACTAAGTTTTTGGGGTCGTCATGTCGATGGATTGTTGTAAGTTTTAAGCGACTTGATAACATTTTTAAAAATTATTAATAATGGGAGAACGAACAACAGCAACAACAACCACAAAAAAAATAAAAATAAAAAATTACTATGAGAAAACACAGGGTGATACTTTGAAAAATTATTACAAAGCATAAGCTAACTAAAATTTAAACAAAAAACAAAAACACAAAAAAGAAACTAAGTGAAAAGAACTTAAAATGTAAAAACTATACATGTATCTATAATTGGAAAAGTGGCATGGCAAGGGAGGGAAGGGTATTATTCTTTGGCATTTCCACCACAACTTTTTAGCTATTCTTTTTTTAAATTTTTATTTAATATGTATATAGAAAAATTGAAATAAAATGGTTTCCGCTATTTCAAACTTTAAAGTGCACTAATTAGTAGTATTTGCCTAAAATTTGGACCAAAACTAATCCAAAATATTCTTTGGCTGCACTTTTCATAAACTCTCTCTTACAGAGGTTCCATAAGAAACCGAGAAACCCTAGCAGTTCTTGGCAAAACTATTCATAACAATTTCTACTTGTATTTGTCGTTTTTATGCTTTGTAAGAATTTCCATTGAGTTTTGAATTGTTTTCTATTAATAAAGCTTAGTTTCATTAAGTTTAGTTTTATTGAATTTTTTAACAAATTTTCGATTTCTGAAACATAAATGAGTATGCAGAATACAAACAATACTTAAATATAAAAAATAGCCATAAATGTTTTGCAAATATAAATGTGCATGTATGTATAAATACGGAAATGGAATACGAAACAGAGTCCAGTTGAATGAGAGTGTCCCAAGAGATGGATTAGGGAGAGGAGGGAGTGGCAAGGCAAATTATAGAATTTAATAATATAAATAAAAACGGAATTATTTAATCAACCAATAAATAACTATTAAATATATGTAAAATGCTGGTATTAAGCTAAAGTCACAGCTCTTGAGCACTTCGCAAAGACAAACCGAGAAAGGAAAAGTAATACAAATCCGCATGACATTTGCATAGAAATGAAAAAATAAATTAATTATAAAAATAAAACAAAACAAAACCCAATTTTAAAAGTCGATTTAATAAAGAATTTATGAGAATTATATGTACATTAAAAATGTGTTATTGTTTTATTTAATATTACATAGGTTCGGGGATTTGTCTCAAAGAGCGAATTTCCAACGAATTTACAAATATTTTTCAAAGATTTTACATTTGAGACAAATTTTGAGGTACTTCTACAAATTTTGAGGTACTTCTACAAATTTCTAAAGCGCGACCTTTTGTGTTGTAAGTTAAAGCTTAAATTATTTGAATATTAGCACCGATAAAAAATTAAGATTGTGCCATCTAGCGGTAGACTTAGTAACCTTGAATGTTGTTTCATTAAGGCACACACATATAAGCAGTACAGCCACCGAAGCAGTGCATAAATCGGGAAGCCGGCTCAGAGTCTTAACAAAAATAATAATAAATATATGCATACATAGATATGTATGTATATTGATCAGGATATACATAAAATATAATTATTTGTACTTACTACTTATTAATGAACTGCGGTGCCGCATTTTTTCTGTTTTAATAGGGTATTAGGGTAGTTTTGTACTAATTTTATAGACAGAAAGAAGCGTGGCAGACCCCCAAATACATATACACCTAATTCTGTTTTTACACGGTAATTTAACACGGTTCGAAAATTTAAAATATTTCCATTTATCACGATTCATTTTGCATATGAGCAATGTCTTTTTTACACGACTTTTCCATATGAACGCAAGGATCGTGGAAAGTAAATGCATGAAAAGCAGAAACAGTCGCTACGCCACACACGTATAGAGGCGCGACGGCCGATTTACAGTTATGATTTTTGGTTCTTTGCCTTTACCTCTGCCTTCTTAACGAGCGAACTCTGCTGGCAGCTGTAGTGCAAGGGTCAGTTTTGCTTGAACTGTTGAACGCGTCGCGCCGCCGGTTTTTGGAGTTGCCGCGAATTTTAAGAAATCGTGTAGTTAATTGCTTAAATAATAGTAAAAATATGTGAAAACATATTATATTTGAATATTAAGTTGTGTGTGAAGTGTAAAATGCATAATATGTGTTTATTAATGCGAAAATGCCGCGCAAATTACGCGCGAAAACATACATACATATTTATGTATGTGTGTGTGGGTGTGTATACGCGCTGTCAAATAAATGGTGCAGTGCAATTTTTGAATAAGTTCCACAGCGTCACCTGTCGTTTGTAAAATAAAGCTTAACTTATTTGAATTATTAGCACCGATAAATAATTAAGATTGAGCAATTATCTCTGTTTGAACGTCCTCGGGCAGTAGGCTACACCGTAACGTGCAAATAAATATTGTGTGTTAAATGTGTTATTGCATTACTCTGTAGGGAATAAACGAAGTTTCCACAAAAAAACACGCAAAGTGACATCTAGCGGTAGATTTAGCAACATTGAAAGTATGTTTCATTAACATAGCTGAGACACACACATATAAGCAGTACAGCCACCCAAGCAGTGCATAAGTCGGGAAGCCGGCTTTTAGAGTCTTATTAATAATAAATGCATATATGCATATGTATGTATGTATATTGATCAGAATATATGTATATTATATATGTACATAAAATCTTGATCAGTATGACAACACGAGTGAATATAGCCATGTCTGTCCATACGAACGCAAGGATCGCGGAAAGTAAATGCATGAAATGCCCAAACAGTTGCTACGCCACACGCATATGGCGCGAAAGCAGATTTACAGTTAGGATTTTTGGTTCTTTGCCATTACTTCTGCATTTTTAACGAGCGCACTCTGCTGGCAGCTTCAGTGCAAGTGTAAGTTTTGCTTGACCTGTTGAACGCGTCGCGCCGCCGGTTTTTGGAGTTGCCGCGAATTTTAATAAAATATATAGTTAATTGTTTAAATAGTAGTAAAAATATGTGAATACATATTATATTTACATATTAAGTTGTGTGTGAAGTGTAAAATTCTTAATATGTGTTTATTAATGCGAAAATGCCAAATGCAAATGCAAATTGCGCGCTGAATACATACATATTTATCTATGTATGTAGGTGTGTGTGTGTGTTCGCAATGTCAAATAATTTGCGCAGTGCCTAAATTTTTGTTTTGTTTTTTAAGTGGTGATAATTGTGATTTAATAATATTAATTTTTTCCAATTTTGAAATGTATGTAAATGTAAGTACGCACTGATTCATATTTCGTTATTCCATAATAATTAATTTTTACTTTTCAATTTACTATTTTACTGCATTCTTTAACATACATGTTAACATAACATGACGTTTCATGTATGTATGTATGCATACGTCTGCCAATTGGCAACACAATTAGCAGACAAACTGTTACATAACATAACAGAAACATAAAATAAGAAAGAAGAACAAGAAAAACGCAATGTAACCAATTTGCCGTATGATTTGTATAACAGATTTCTAACTTGGCTACATTTGTGTGTTTGAGTCAGTTGTATGAACAAGTTGGAGTGTGGGTGGTCGATCACCCCAACTTGTCGCAAAGGAGCAAGAGAACGCCGTTAGATCAGCCGAGTAAGAGAGCCTCGTCAGCATTAGATTTCTCTTGTGGGAGAGAAGTAAGCACACAATTATGATAATTAATTGGCAAGTCGATACGATTCTTTTTGTCCGTTTTAGCCATAAGTGCCAGAAGTTCTGTTTTTTGTTTTTGTTAAACAATTGTGATAAGAATATTTATTTAAATCTGGCCACTTTTTAGCTAAAATTTGTTTTTGTGCCGGTACTCTTCACAGTGTGCACTCTTCATACACATGTTTGTGCAGCAACAAAGATGGGGGTTAGTTTTCATTGAATTGTGAAACAACGGCCGATCTCAGTAACGGAGCTTCCACTGTAACTGTGTGTGTGGTGTGCTGGGGATTAGACTTTGACAAACCGTTAGTTGTTCGCAGTGTCTTGAGTCTAGACACAAACCTCAGTGGCTTTCAAACTAACGTATATTGCAATGCATTGGCTAAACGACCAGCTGTTCTAAAACTGTAACAATGAAACTGTTGATTCTAAAGAGCGACTATTATTTTCTTTCTACTCATTAACTCTATATGGGGTTTTATAAATTTATTAAAAAGAGAAAATATATTTTAAAAAAAAAGAAGAAAATTATGTTGTGTACATTGGAATTTTGTTGCTGAAAAAAACAGTCAAACAATAACCAACCAGACCCCAAAAAAGCATCCAGTCTTGCGTCCTGGGCTTCTTAGAAAATGAACCCAGAGTCGGGCAAGCCATTATACGAAGTCCTGGGCTGCCATACAGCCGAGTCTTTTTATTGTTCCCAGATTTCGATCAAGCGGCCTGTCCGACTCACCTCATATTTAGTTTATTTGGGAATCACCATCCAAAGCGTTTTAAATAAGAACAGCACATGGTTGATTAAATTACAACTAAACTTTTTATTGTCAATTACATGTTAATCATATGTCGAAAATTTATAAAATTTTGCATTGGAGTAGAATACCAAAAAATAAATAAGATTACAACTTAGCTTAGCTCATTTCGTTTCATTATCGTTTTGTATCATTTTCGATCCACTATTCCATTTTTACACATTTCTCTTCTTCCACTTAAATTGAACTATTTTTAATGACTGTTTATTAAGACGAAAGAAAAATACAGAAAAGTAATGGAAGCACCAACAATAAATTTTTGTTCCTTCTGCACGTTTCTCCATAGCTCGCATACTGCACCGAAGAAGAAGAAGAAGAAGTAATCGTCCTAAAGTATTTCCTTTGTGGCAAGAATTTACTAGAAATTTGTAATGTGTGTGTGTATGTTTGCGTTTAACTTAAAATACACTTCGGGGTCTTGTATCTACAACTAGAACTTATGAAACACTAAGGCAAAAACTGCATAACAATGTCCTTTGTACTTCACGCGAGGACGCCGTCCAGTGCGTGAATGACGCCGTTGGTGGCTGGAATATTGGAGGTGACCATCTGGGCGTCGTTCACCTTGATCTTGCCGGCCGAGGTCTTCTGCAGTACAACGGTCTTGCCCGTGTACAGCGAGTCCTTGACTTGGTAGAAGCGCATGCCCGCCGAGAAGAGAGCGCCGGGCACAATGTGCTTCATGGCGAACTGTTCGGCTGTCTCCTTGTCGTTGTAGAGCTTCTCGAGTGTATCAGAGTCCAGTTCGCTGAAGCTCTTGTCCACGGGCGCGAATACAGTGTAGGTCTTGACGCCTGCTATATAAGATTTTGAATTAGCGATGGTGATGGACTTGCATTTAGTTATAGACTTACCCTTGCTTTGCAACTTCTCGGATAGACCTGAAGTGTAGAGAATCTTCAAGAAGTTGGAGAAGCGACCCTCGCGATCCGACTGAAGTGTTTGAAGCAGATCCCCAACTGGCAGTGGGAACATGACGCGATCGACTGCATGTGCCACGCCCTGCGGTATCTTGATGTCCTTCTTATTCAGCACAACCATGGCGCCATTAATGGTGGTGAGCTGTGGTAGAGAAGAGAAGTACTTTGTTAGTATTAGTAAACTGTAGAATCCTGATAGACTTTACTGAAATGTAAAGTATTAGAAAAAACTAAAAAACTTGGATGCGAAAAAGTATTTTCATAAAAGATTTCTGCAGCGATCTCTTTGTTGGCAGCTCTATAGTATAGTATAGCATAGCTCAAATAGCTAGAAAGAGTGATGTACAGACGGAAAAAAGCAAGGAAAGTTCATGCTGAACATGCCAGCTACATACTTTACAAATAGAATCTTCTACACCGTTTACCCCTTCGGTTACAACGGGCAAGGAGACTATCTAGAATATTAAGTAACCACCAGTGGAGACTACAAGGCTTTAGCACTCACGGTAACATCGTTCCATTCCTGATCGTGCATGTTGTATTGATTAACACGCAGCTGTGTGCCCGCCAAAGAGACTCCCGTCATTTCATCCTGCAGCGTGGCAATCTCAAAGGCTCCCGGGATCACATGATGCAGCAGCAACTGTGCAGGATTAAAAACATTGGGATGATAACAGAGCATACGTAATTATTGAACTTGAGTTGAACTTACGCCGCTCAAGAGTCTGGGATTGGAGTGGAACTTCTCTTCGGCACGCTCGGGACCACCCAGCTGGACCAACAGATTCTTGAAGGCCTTGTCTGTGGGCACAAAAATGGTGTAGGGCCCCGTCTCATTCAAGATGCTATCCAGGCCCGATTGTCTCAAGTACTTGGCCATGGCGAAGAGCCCATTGGACTTGAGTATTTGGAGCAGATCCTCGCTCGGATTCGAAAGCACTGAGCTGGCGGCCGCCGACTTCTCGCTGTTCTCTGTCTCCTGCACCAAAGCGTCGGCATATTGGGGAGGTGCCACAAGATCCTGGCTCGAAACACGCTCAGTCACAATAGGTAGATGTGTGGACGAGCCACCGTAAGAGACTGAAGCTGAGGTGGCCGAAGAAATGCTGTAAATTGGCGCCGGGGTGGTGCGTATTAAGCTGGAGGCGGCCGAGGTGGTCTCATGGACATACTGCTGAACAGTGCTGGAGCGATGTATATAGGGGGAATTCGTGGTGGTGGTGGTGCTGGTGGTTGAGGTGCGTGACGGATGATACTGACGATGGTTGCTGGGCGTACCTCTGGATATAAAAGGCGTGGGTGTGGTGCTGGTCGTTGTAGTGGTGGTGGGCGTGGTCGTCGTATAAACTGTGCTTGTAATGGGCGAGCGGGTGGTTTGAATGATCTTGCCGCTCTTTATCTCCACCACTTCGTCATTGGGCAGGGTTAGTCGCGAGACAGAGGGAGGCAGCTTGATTTCTCCACTGCGTATGCGCTCCAGAATGCTCTCCACTTCGGCGCCCGTCTGCTTCGTCTCCTTCTCCCCATTGGCCTTGACGCCCTGGATCTTGAAACTACCATCGGTTTGTTCCTCCAAATACACATAGGTGGCCTTTTTCTTCGGCGGCAGAGTGGGTGGTGAAGCGGTAGCCGGCGCCTGCGACTTGGGGGAGCTCAAACCCTCGATTTCATAGCCATCGGGTATGAGACCACGTTTGGCCAGCTCTTCAAGCGTGGGTGGTTGGTCCGAGTCCGAGGTTATCACAGCCGAGCTGGCAATGCTATTGGCACCATTTGTGATGCCCTGCAGCTCTGCACCACCGCCATACAACGAAGCCAAACTGGATAGATCTACTCCACCGGGCAAGCCCTGTGGTGGCACGCCCTCGGACTCAATTGGATCGGGCGAACGCAGAATTTGCACCTTTCCACCACCGGGTAAGAGTAAATCGTTACTCTTGGTGGGCGCCACATCGGTCAGACTCAGCTTCAGTTCCCCTGCACCACCCGCACCGCCGAGCGCCTGCTGAGCCAGCAGGGTTTGCAGCTGCTCCTGCGAATAGGCCTGCTGTCCCTGCACCAAATTCGGGTCGGTGGTGCGTATGACCTGGACACGCTGTCCATTGGGCAGCACCAGATCCATTTCGTCGTAGGTCTTGTTGCCACTGAGCGGTTTCTGTGGTGCATCCGAGAGTGCCGCCTTCAGCTGCTTCAACAGATCATCGCGTGCGATTGTCTTCACAGATTTTTTGGGACCGCCTCCAACCTTTTGGCCATATTTACCCAATTCGGCTTTAACCTGGGCGTAGACATTCTTCTTCTGGGGTAAGGTGGTGCTGGCCTCTGTGGTGGTTGTTGTCGTCGTCGTTGTGGTGGTTGTTGTCGGATGTTCTTTGTAGTATTGCTGCAGAGCGCTATTGAACTGATTGTATTCGGTTGGATGAGCCACAGGTCGTCCGCGTGGTGGTCCAAACTGTGGTTGAGGTGGCAGATGCTGGTAATTATGCTGACTGATGATGGTGGGCAGGACATGTTGCTTGATTGCATGTTGCTTGGCCAAGAACTCCTCGTGTTGCTGGCGCACTTTGTGCTGCGACTTCTCGTACTGCTTGGCCACAAACTGTTCGTGTTTCTGGATCAGCTTTTGTTTGTATTCCTGATCGGCAACCTGCGGCTGGGGACCGGCGGTACCAGCGGGCAGGAAGGGGGCATTGATGAACTGATGTTGTTGCTGCAGTTGCTGATGCTGTTGGTGTTGCTGTTGCACCAAAGTTTCGCGGGAGGGCTGTGCGGGAAAGGCGGTGGACTGAAGATTGGAAAAGATTTGGGGCACTGGCAGACCCAGTTGTGGGGTCAACTGATACTGTTGTTGCCCTTGTGGCTGCTGCTGTTGCTGTTGCTGCTGATAGCTAAACTGCTGCTGCTGTTGTGGTTGCTGCTGCTGCTGCGGTATTGTCTGAAAGGTGGGCACCGGCGCCTGGCTGGGCAGCTTTTGTGTGGTCTGAGGCAAAGGTTGGGCTCCGAATTGTTGCGGCTGCTGATAGGCAAAGGTTTGTGGTGATGGCTGTTGCTGTTGCTGTTGCTGGAAGGGCTTGTGGCTGTAGGAGCGTTGCGGCAATGCTTGCGATGGACCCACATGCTGTTGCTGCTGCTGCTGCTGATGCTGCTGCTGACTGCTGGCGAAGTTGCGCAAATCTAGAAAGTTCTGATGATGCAAGTCCAGCTGCTGACCGTTTGCCTGTGGCTGCGGCTGCTGTGGATATTGCAAGTTCTGAAGCTGATTTTGTGTAGAGCGCTGGAATTGCTGGTTGCTATGTTGCTGCTGTTGTTGTTGTGGTGGTGGTTGTTGTTGTTGTGGGAAAAAGCGATGTTGTGATTGTTGCTGATAGCTTGGACGACGATGCTGGTGATGTTGGGGATGTGGAATCGGCGTCTCAACGCCCGGCTGCACAAAGTTCTGCTGATTGTACGGCTGCAGGTTCAACTGACGACGATGGCCATTATGGAAGGGAGGCTGCAATTAGAAGCAGGAATTAGTGCTGGTTGCATAATTATCCATGTTTATAATTATTTATATGAGCAAGGGGAAGAATCATTGAAATTGTCAGGGTGAGATTGAGTTATTTACTTGTAGTTTTGTTTCAATTCTTAGTTGCTTTACATATTTTTCCATTTCTTATTAGCAAAGCTTTTAATATTTGAAGCATATTTTATGAAACATTTAGAGTTACTCCCTCGTTTTTGAATCTAGCGCGCTGCAGCTTAGCTCTGAGTCTGGCTTCTTATTGTTGGGCGCAAATAATTTATTAAAATGATTAGATTAATATACTAAGCTAAGCATGCGAGTAAAATAATGATAATAAGTTTGTTAAACTATTATTTAAAATGCATTATTTCTCAAAATTTTCCTATTTAAAATCCATTAATTCTCAAAAATTGCGTAAGAAACCTAAATAACATTGTTGAGCTTCGAATAATTCATCAAGAGTATATTATTTGAAGTCTATTAATTCTCAAAAATTTCTTAAAAAAATTCATTAAGAGTATATTATTTAAAAGCCTTTAATTATCACAATTTTCTTTCAAAACCTAAATAACATTGTTAAGCTTCGAATAATTCATCAAGAGTATGACATATATTTTTAATTTAATGTTTTCTCCCTTTCAAAAGCAAATAATATGCGCGTGCTCGTATGACATAAAAACTACAACTGACATAGAAAATCTGCGCTGCCATTGAATGATAAATAAGCAAGAGGCGTTCCCATTTCTCCCCCTTGAATTTTGCAATGTGCATTAATATTAATGCGAACCAGTTTAAATAGCAACTGTCACCAACACATACACTCATATAGTAGTTGTAGTTGTGGTTGTTGTTGTTATGCTCCATTTAGCAGAAAGTTTTGAAACGAGATTGTGCGTCGCGTTGCCGGTTGGACCTGTGGCTCCTTTTTGGCAGTCGGTCAAGTTGAAGTTGATAATAAACATGGCAAGTGGGTTGCAGTAAAAGTGCCGGCCAAGCCGGTACAGCCATGGAAAATATATAACTTACTGCCAATTATGTAAGACTTGCAAGCGATAGTTATAGAAAAAAAGCATTCCAAAGCAGCTTTTGGGGCTTAGGAATAATGCATACATTTAAGTTAGGGCTTTATATATTTGCACATCTTTTTTTTACTTTTTTATTTATTTGTTGGACTGGACAATGCATACGATCATACTATAATAACATATATACAACATACTCTTTTGTTCATAAAAGAAACATAAGAATATTTGAAAGTAGAAAGTTGTTCTTTTTTTTTTTAAATTTGAGATACAATTTAAAGAATCAAAATATTACAAATACTCTTACTAAGTGAGCATACTTCGTTTTTATATCTGACTAATATTCGACGGAGTAGGATAAATATAAGTATAATGGTTTTAAGATTAATGAACAATTCGATCTTTAAGGTAAAAAAATGAATCAACATAGCTGAATCGAATATTGTCGACAAATAGATTTGTAAGGCGTGCTAAACAAGCATCTGGGAAATAATAATAATTTAAATAATCATTACAACGTATTCGAAAACGAGTAATGTGAGTATATGCCCTTTTTTATCGTTTCATAAATCTAATTGTTTTGCATACAAAATAAAAATTAAGTAAAACTACAACAAACCAAAATGTTAGTACTCTCTATATGAGACCTAAAGCCAAATTAAAATCATTGTTTATCGAGAATGGCAATATATTTTGTGCAATAGCAATTCATTAAATTATGAAACCCTTCCTAGGAATCGAATTCATTAACGTATAAGGAGTTAAAAAAGTAAAGCTGAACATCTTACTTCATGAAATCGATATTTTTAAAACATGATTTGTCACACAAATCAGAAACAGGAGTAGATATCAGTTAATTATTTATTCAAATAATAATAAATAATAAAAATGAATATGACTTTTCTCTCAAAATTCGTTCTCGTTCTTCCTCTATTATAAAATAAACTTTTGATAGTTAAAAATATAAAATGAAAATCTGAATTCTCATGGGTTTTTGATTAAATTTTTCACTCATTATCTGTAAAAACATACATACATATATATTTAAGTTGATAAGGTTTTATAAACTGTACTCTCTATTATTAACTAATTATAGATACAATTATTTCTTTAATAACACCAACTACTATATGCGTAATGAAAACAAGTACGACTAATAATCCATTCCAAATGCTTGTCAGTTAAGTGCGAGCTACGAGTAATGCTGGCCGAATTATGACACTTGATTTCAAGTGAAGATGTAGCTGTGTCGGTCGCTTCCTCCTCTCCAACTACACTCTACTATGTAGCTGATATACATATATACACAATAGGAAAGCCTAGTGTGAGCTTTGCAACATTTCTTTTGTCTTGAAGCTGCAATTGTGCCACAGTCTCAGTCCCACAATGCAACTTATACAACTTCCCAACTACGCCTCGAAAAGACAACAAAAAGCTGTGCTCGTCATACATCGCGTATACGTATCGGCTTGCAGCGACGTTTTGCACAAAAGAAATGATTGGCTTTAAAGTAAAACAACAACAACAACAACAAAAAGAAGAAGAAGAAGAAGAGAGCGACAGTGGTCAGACGAACAAGTAAACAAAAACAATTGTTTAACAACAGTTATTCAACACAATTTTGTTTGGATTCGCTGCGAACCGCTTAGAAAGAAGTCGCAGTCAAAAAAGCCGCCTCTAAAAACAAAAAATTGTTTGTTTTTGTTCGTTTTTGCTAAGCTGCTGTATAATTTAATTGCCAGCGCTATAAATCTTTTGGATACATTTTTTGTTTATCTGTGAGTGCGCGCGACGTCTCGATGCGTCTGCAAGATGTTCAGATTGAGAAGCCACGCCACTTGTGTCTTCCAGTCATTCAGTCAGTCTGCCAGGCAGTCAGTCTGTCAGTCTGCTAGCCAGCCAACTGACTCTTTCTTCTCGCATAGTAATTATGTTGTTATTGCTAATGATAATGCACTGGTTGCCGTTACTAATGCTCATCATCATTAGTCTGCTGCTACTGATGATGATGATGAAGTTGATGTTAGAGGCGAAGCTGTCATTTTTTCAGCGCTTATGTAACACTTTGTTAGGAATTTGTATGGCATAGGGAAATTGGGAATTATTTAAATTAAAAAAAGATTACCCAAAAACTGACTGACAATTGCATTTAAAGCCTAGTTTCGGAAAACTGAGTGATGTTTTTGTAATATGTGGCCAACAGCTTAATAAACAATATGACCCTTGTAACCCTAATTTTGTGAACATATTCTCTTTCAAGTGTTGATTTGTTGTTCAAGTTATATCGGCAAACCGATCATATTTTGTTAGTTATATCGAAAAATTTGAGGCTATGCAGATATTTTTAAAACATTGCTGGCAATCAAGATAATAATTGAAATGATGAACCTTTAAATAAAAAAATATATATATTTATAATGTCTTTAGCATCAAAAATTTATTCTATAGATTGTTAACATGACTTCAGAGATGGAAAAACACTCTTCAAAGGAAGTGTCTATAAATTGGAATGCAAAATATTATAGTTGTTTCATTATAACTCCAATTGGCAGTCGTAGAAGTATTGAAATGTTTCTTTATGAATGGTTAAGCATACGAGTTTCTAATAACTTCAATCTGCATTTTCACCTCTCGAACAAAAAAAAGAAGAGCCAAGTTGTTTATCCCCACCAGATTTTCCCCCCTCTTTCTTTTGACAAATTGCGCTCATGGTGAAAACATCAATCAATCAAGGCAACAGCTCCAATGCAATCAAAGTCCCAAAGCTGTCAGTGAACCCTGAGCCAAGTTTCGTCTTTGAAGCGTCATCGTCACCCCAACCAGCCATCCAGCCATCCAGTCATCCAGCCATTCAACTATTCAGCTATTCAGTCAGTCAATCAGTCAGCCACATTTCTCATCATATTTTATGTGCTGGGCGTGCTCTCTGAACATGCTGAACATGTTAATTTCACGGCTTAGCAAGCTCATTCAACATATATATAAAACCGATATCCAAAATGTTGATGTCTGAGTGCAAAACACTTTCGTTTTTAATACCAAATGCCAATCAATGCGCCGCGCATGCGCATGCGCCCAGGCCGAGGCCCAAAGCTGGCAACGCCCTCAATGGGCCCCAAAAGCATGTGTCAAGTGACTGTTGTAGTTGTAGTTGTCATTAGTTGGATGTATGTTAATGCGACCCACATTAGCCACTGTCTGTTGTTGTCACTGATATGATTGTTGTTGTTATTGTTGTTGTCAGTGTCTGTCTGTTGGTTGCGGTGGCAATGAAAGTGTCAATTGATTGACAATTTGAATGTTGCCGCTAGAAAATAGTCGAACTCCGAGCCGCAGCGGTAGCTGATGAGTGACGTAAAAACAATATTGCTTCAAAAGAAGAGAAACAATCAATCAATCAATCATTGGAATACTAAAAAATAGCAGCAAACATTTGTTTTGTTTATTGCAGTCTTGTTTTAATATTTTTTACCAAATACCAAAACTGCATAAATTAACGAAATCACACATTTTTTTAATTGCTCGAGCACTCGATTGTGTAACCATGTTTTCCCAATTAATGACCTATGCTGATAAGTAGGTCGATTGCAGAGGAATTTGGAAAAATTTTTAGAAACAAAGCACTGCTTTTGTTTGATTCTAATTTATTAGCCAGTTTGATCTCAAGTTTTCTATACGATAATCCGATACTTCAATAATAGGAATACTCTTAACACCTTATAAGTTAAGCCTCATTCTACATAAGTATGGAGTACCCTAATTCTCTTTTTAGACGGTCTTTTTTTACACGGTTTGAAAATTAAAAATGTTATATAGCATTTAGCACGATTTATTTCATCAATGTCTTTTTTTAACACTACTTTTTCAGGCACGAATCTACCGTGTAAAAACAGAATTAGGTGTATATGGAAAAACTTGTTTAGATATCCCTCAGATAATACAGTTTAGCATTTAAATATTAATAAT